AAGCTGTGAATAAACAAATGCCCGCAAACTTCAATGAACTGAAGCAATGTTGTAAAGAAGAGTGGGCCAAAATTCCTCCACAACGATGTGAAAGACTGATAAAGTCATACAGAAAACGATTCCTTCAAGTTATTGCTGCCAAAGGTGGTTCTACAAGCTATTGAATCATAAGGGGTACTTAGAATGTTGTAAAGAAGAGTGGGCCAAAATTCCTCCACAACGATGTGAAAGACTGATAAAGTCATACAGAAAACGATTCCTTCAAGTTATTGCTGCCAAAGGTGGTTCTACAAGCTATTGAATCATAAGGGGTACTTAGAATGTTGTAAAGAAGAGTGGGCCAAAATTCCTCCACAACGATGTGAAAGACTGATAAAGTCATACAGAAAACGATTCCTTCAAGTTATTGCTGCCAAAGGTGGTTCTACAAGCTATTGAATCATAAGGGGTACTTAGTTTTTCACACATGGCTTCTCCATTTTGGCTTTCTTTTTGTAAAATAAATGATGGCATGGTGTAATATGTCATGTGTTGTTCATCTGAGGTTTTACCTACTTTTGAGAACTGCTAAGGACTAGATGATTTTTATTATGTCTTGATACCTAAAACCATAGAACTCAAAGAGGGTGTACTTTCTTTTTCACACAACTATAAGTTCATTGACCAAACTAAACTATATTTGTTTTTGGCTAAGCATTACATGCAAATAGGGTGGGGTTCATCATGGATTGTTTTAGGATAATACACATTTTGAAAACAAGATTTGTCTTACTGATTGCGACTGTAGGTTATCATGATGTGTTGATGAGAATGCTTAATTTAATGCTTAATTCTGCTCTTGTCTGGTGCTTCACCCAAGCATCACTAATCCAGAGTGCAAGGCAAGGGCTGCCAAAGATGGAGGGGAGAACAGTAATCAGTAATAATAATTACTTTTCTTGTCCTCAAGATTAATTATGACTTGATTCTGGCTTTTTCAATAAATCATGGTTAAGATAAACTATATGTTTAGAATACACAGATGCAGGTTGGTTGCTGTAGGAAAAATCAGCTGTGTTAGTGTACTGCAAGTGGTTCATTTTCATCTACCAATTCTGCTTTATGCAGTTGGTTTATTGGATGCTGATATGATGTAAGCCTACAGTATTTGACTGATGTTCATAGAGTTTGGGTTACGTTATTTGCTTTTACTTAATTATATTCTAATTGAATACAGTTGGTGCTATTATAATAAATAACCAAATAGGCTTTGCATTTGAGATAAAAAGGAGGTCACAAAATATTTGCTGTTATTATTACAGTTCTATCCGGTGGTGTGCTAGAGCTGGCTTGTACTGGCTAGCAAGAGCTGATTGTTAAATTTTCCAGTATTTTGCGAGCCATTTGAGAGCAGAGCTGAGCCCTGATATCTACCCTGCTAATCAGCTGTTCTGTGGCTAGCAGTGTGGTGGTGCAGTGGAGCTGGGAGAGCTGTTTTTTAAACATTTACCAGCAAAGCACTGGTTATATTCCATCTTTCCTCTGGGAGCTCAAGTATTATACATTGGGGGAGGGGCATCTCTCCATGTTACCCGGGTAAGAACCTTAAGAGGAAACTGTGGAGTCCATTTTGGACCAGCTTAAGTTTCTGGATGATCTTCAAGGACAGTCCCATGTAAAACAAGTTGAAATAATCTAAGTAATACAAAACAATTACATAAGTGACTGTTCTCTTTGCATCCAGTTTCAGATAAGGCCACAAGTTTTGTTCTTAAGAGGGTATTTGAATCTAGGTCTTCCCAGATCCAGTTAAATGTATTCACTACTGTGTACTACACTGGCTGTCAGAATGGAGAGTAACAATGTAGCTTTTATATGTAAAGAAAATGGGCAGTAAATTCATCTACAGTATTATTTTGTTTTTCACTGTAATACGGCAGTTGCCAGGAATCAACACTGATTCGAAGGCACAAATACATATGTGTGTGTGTCTGTGTAGACACCTTAGTACTCGGGTGAGTGTGGAACCTCCAGAGTAGGAAAGCTTCCATCCAGCTTGTTAAAACAAGTTCAACTCAGCTCTAAATGTAAATTTAGAATATCATGCTTAAAATCATAAATATTCTTGCTGTAGTTTAAAGTGCTGGTTCCAACCTATAAAGCCTTTCATGGCACATGGCTAGATTATTTGTGGGAACACCTGTCTCTGATTATTTTTGCTTGTCTTGGAATATCCAGCATGTTCCATGTACCTCTATTAACAGTGCCATCTTATGGAAGCCAGGAATGTATCTTTTTTGTCGCAGTGCCTGTTCCATGGAATACCATACTCTCCCAAGGTTCATATGGTCCTAGTCCTGTTGGCCTTCTGCAATATATTGGAAACCTGGCCCAAGGATTGTGCCAGGGGGTTAGTTGAGGCCATTTTTGTAATGGTTTAGGAGAATGATTGTGGCCTCAAATGTATTATTTTTATTTTTGTTTTGGTTATTTTTTTACTTATCTGTTTTAACTCAATGTTGGTGGCCCAGAGTTAGAGTTTTGAGTTAGGTGGCCATATATATTCATCAATAAATAGATCCTGCCATTATTAAAAGCTTTAGGAACCATAACTGATAATAGCTGGTATGTTAAAACAATCCAATTGTTAAGCAGTTGGCCGCTACCCATCCCCTTATTGTTGGTGATACAAATTAAATGTAACTTTTGTTCATTTGGAGGGTGTGTGTGTGTGTGTGAGAGAGAGAGACTCCAAATTACGAGGATCCACCTTCCCTACGTGCTATCCTAGTGGACTAATATAGCTATTCCTCTGGAAGCTAAATTGTGTGCTATTTTGCATATGTGGATCAATCATTAAAAAAACAGGAGTAGCAACAAAGCAAATAAGGTGTGTGTGCTAAACCTGGTTATACAAATTATGCCAAAACATAAGCATTCACAATATCTTAAATAATTTATAAACAGTCATATACTTTTATAAATATGACTGTTTATAAATTATTTACAAAATTTTTGTAAATTTCTTTAAAAAATTAATATTGACTTCAAATGTACTAGGAGGAATTTAGAAAATATCTGAAAACCAGGTATATGTATAGAAATAATCAAGGAACTTTTAATTAATGATTAAATAATAAAATTCTCATACAAAGCTTCAAGAGGCTATCTGTCAGCGATAAAAATAAGGTTTTTTTGGATCCATAATGGTAATCTTTGGTGACTGATCTAAAGTCTTTCTTAAGAAAATACCATCTTAATAATGCATAACTCAATTATTAGAAGTCTTTTAAATTACATTTTTTCAGAGAAAGTTGGTTTCATTATACTAATCAATAGAAACGAAAACATGTATTTCCCATATAGTTCTTTGCTGTAGACTACATTTTAGCTGTCTACCAAGCTTAGATGTTCTTGGGTTAGAAACCAATCCAAAAATCATTTAAGCTCTTGATTTAAAAATACTTCAACATTTTTAAAAGGTGAAATCAAGGCCTTATAGAGTGAACTTTTCACTAGGTTGCCAGCTAGTTACCGTATATGTATCTTATGGGTAACTATTTAGAGCAGTGGTTTGAATTGTAATGCCAGCTTAACAAAATATTTGTTTTGCTGAAGTTGATCTAACTTGGATTTCAGATGGGAAAAACAATTATGGAACATGTTGTATCTATACTACTATATTTAGCAGATCAGATGAATCTTTATTGCAATATAATGGAAACTGAATAAATCTTTAAGCAGAAAGGACTTTAAAAAGCAAGGGCATGTAGTTCTTCAGGGAGAATGTAGGATGTTTCACTTTGCCTGCTGACACACCACTAAACCAAATCCAGGTTAACAAAATATAATTGGTCATTTGCAGGAAGTAGTGATAGATGAATGAATAGTTTAAATTGGACTAGTTAAAAATAATAATAATAATAAAAAACCTTTTGACTGTGTTTTTGGCTTGTACATTTCCATCTGATTTTTTCCCTGTCTTTTGGTATGCACTTATCCATAGTTATATTAACACAGTAGTGCATATTCACTGTACAGTTGATGAAACATACTTTAGGCTATAATTAGAATACAGTGGACATTCATTTCTGCAGTTGGTATCAGTGAGGTAGTAGCAATTGATTAAGAGTAGCTTTGATGCTAGAATGTTCTTTTTCATTTTATTCATCTCTCAGTTGTAATTACCTCTTCTAGGAGAGTTAACAAAGATACAGATGCTTTACCAAAATGTAAACAAAAATGTACCAAAATATTTAAATAGAAGGAAACCATAATCATTTACAACTAGCCCCCACCCTGCCCACACCCAGACCTAATCAAATGCATTCTTAGCTTCTCTGTAGGTCAGACCATCCACTTTTTTTGTTCAGACTATCCAGAACACAAGCCATGATATTCTCTCAGGAGCAACTTTTGGAGGCTTGTAATGGGAACATCTAGTTTTGTAGTGTTTAAACCAACTCTCTGTTTCTTATATGATATTCAAAGTCTTCAGAAATCTATGCTTTATTCCAAAGATCAGGAAATATATTGATGGAATTTCATGTTTGAATAATTTAATTATTTCTTCTAGGCCCAATCAGCAGCATCCTGGTGAACAAATATGGCAGCCGGCCAGTCATGATTGCAGGGGGCTGCCTGTCAGGGTGTGGTCTGATTGCTGCCTCCTTCTGTAATACTGTAGAAGAGTTGTACTTCTGTGTTGGTGTTGTGGGCGGTAAGTGACACACCTATATAAATGTAGATGTATAAATGTAGATACATGTAATTGTATAATTTTGAGAGAGCAGGAATCTAACTCTCTATTGAAGAAAACTAATCTAGATTATTGTTAAGTAAAGGCCTGTACTTCATTTCCAGGATGACTAATCTCTTGAGCTAGATTTTTTTCCATGGCTACTTTTTTCCAGAGAGGGAGTTTTTTCCATTCTAAATAGGATGTAGGCCATTTGAACATTAGTCAAAAGAGAATTCAGAATATCTCCCATTCCATTTAAACAACAGCTTGGGAACCAATAGATTATCTCAGGGATATTTCAGACCTTTTTTTTTTTTTTTTGCCCATGCAGTTTCTGAATACAAACAGGTGATGGCATTTCTCTGTGATGTCTCTCCTATAACTGCCTGGAGAAATTTGTTGTCTCTATGGTATCTCCATATTTGCCCATGGTTGTTTGCTTGCTTATTTGTATATTTATTTATTTGCTGTTGTGCACTTCAAACTTTCTGGCTTTGAGGTGGTTTTTATAACTGCTCTTTCAAAAAAAACATTTTTTTTACTTTATATTTAATGTTGCTGACTTTTTAAATATAAAATATACTTGTGCAGAATCCAGCAATTGGAGAAGGGAATGTTCTGGAGAACTTGCCATTCTGGAGGGAATGGATTCAGTGGTTGCTAGAAGTAAATTCCCCAGCTGGGAAGGAGTTTGAGGTGTCCCTGAGCCTAGTATTCCAGAATGCCTTGTCCTCTGGTCCAGGAAATTTATTTCCAGAAACCACCAAACCACCCTGGAACAGCATAGTCCAATTGACTTCAGCACAGTTAATGTGGGAGCACTTCATTCCAGAATTCTCTGAAATGTTTTGTTCCCAAATCATTGAATTTTGTACATTCATACTTGAAAACAAAGGATTTGTTAGTATAAGGATTTGTCAGATATCACTGAACTATCACTAAGTATTTAGTGTTGTGTTTTGCATTCTATATCCTGAAGTCTTTTAAATGTGTTAAGGGAGCGGTACTATTTCCTAAAACCCCAGCTAACAATTTAAGATGATGGATATAGTGTGCATGCCACAGTATCAGTAAGAACATAAACTGATTCTAGAATACAGGATTTGTAGAGCTGTGTTTGTATGTGTTTATCTTAATAATTTAATGTAAATGTATTTCTATCCCCAGGTCTGGGACTTGCATTTAATTTAAACCCAGCCTTGACCATGATTGGCAAGTACTTCTATAAGAAGCGTCCTTTGGCTAATGGATTGGCCATGGCAGGTAGCCCTGTATTCCTGTCTACGCTGGCTCCTCTGAACCAATATTTCTACAGCATTTTTGGGTGGAGAGGGAGCTTTTTAATTCTTGGAGGCCTCTTGTTGAACTGCTGCGTGGCTGGGTCGCTGATGAGACCAATAGGACCTAAGCCTGATCAGCTGAAGAAAGAAATTGATAAGGAAGCATTGCAGGAGGTTGGCAAAGTGACAAGAAAAGAAGCAGGAGATGTCAATACAGACCTTATTGCTGGGAAAAATAAAAAGCAGAAGACTACAGCCTTCCAAACTATTAACAAATTTTTGGACTTGTCCCTCTTCACACATCGTGGCTTCTTGCTTTACCTGTTTGGCAATGTGTTCATGTTTTTTGGACTGTTTACACCATTAGTTTTTCTCAGCAACTATGGAAAGAGCAAGGATTTCTCTAAAGAATCTTCAGCTTTCCTGTTATCTATTCTGGCCTTTGTAGATATGTTTGCCAGACCATCTATGGGTTTGGTAGCAAACACCAAGTGGATTAGGCCTAGAGTCCAGTATTTTTTTGCTGTGTCTGTTATCTACAATGGAGTATGCCATCTTTTGGCTCCTTTATCTACTACCTATGCTGGCTTTTGTATCTATGCTGGCTTTTTTGGATTTGCTTTTGGCTGGCTGAGCTCTGTCTTGTTTGAAACACTGATGGACTTAGTTGGGGCTCAGCGATTCTCCAGTGCTGTTGGTTTGGTGACTATTGTGGAATGTTGCCCAGTCCTTTTGGGACCTCCTCTTTTGGGTAAAACACTTATTTCACCTTTGGGATGGGGAGGGGAGAGAGACTGTATTAGCACTTTGATGACCTGCAGGTCTGACCTAAGATAAGTAGGGGAAAGATAATTTGTGCTGTAAACAAAAGTATTAGGATTCAGCTTATAATTATGCCTTATACTAGGGGTTCTTAAACTGTGGGTCATGAGCCTCTGGACCAAATCTGAGGGTAGTTGCAGCTACCTAACATGTTTTATCCTTTTTCAGCTCTTGGCCAATGGCTGGCCCTTATGTCTGCATAGATGATACTGAGTTACAACAGCAGCTACAGCTCTGTACCTTTCTCCTCAACTGAGCTGGGCTAAAAATGACTTTGCCAAATTTGCCCTTTAACTATATAATATTGGCAGGGAGACTGAGCCTGCCTTGGCCCTGGGTACACATTTCCCCACCTACAGACCACCTTCACTGCTTTGATGGGCACATTCTGAACACTACTGCAGGATTTGATAGGCTCAGTGGTAAAAGGTAAACCTAAGAGAAAAGGGTTGTTTCTAAATGGAAAGGTGTCAAGGTTAAGGCTAGAACAAAGTCCGATTTTTAAAGTAATTCCCTGCCGTTCATACCAACACATTTCTGAAGAGAAGGATAATTAATATTTACATTACCGTTCTTTGGATTCCTTCCAGTATTGCACTAGTAAAAATATTACATATATTTGTGTCTCTAGAAATACTTTCGCCCATTGCTGTTGGCCTGTTCCTGCCCTGATACTTTTACAGTCGTGTCCCTTATGGACAGCCATTATTTTCTTCCATCTCCCCTGCCCCTCAGGCATTGGGATCCTGGCCTTGCCTTTTTTGGAGTTTGAATTCTGTCAGTGTGTCACATGCACAGAGTTACTGGGAAGGAAGACATTTCCAGGACTAGTTTCAGTTGGAGTTGGCAACTCTAGGTTGACATGTATGGAAGGTGGACATAGAACAGATTTCCTGCCAATTCTGTTTTGAGAAGGATGGTCTTAAATTTACTAAAGCTGTGCCAATTGGCGACTTTCAGTGGCATCTAGTATATTGGTAAGCTTTGTTCATGAGGGTAGGGAATGTCACACAAATTCACCACAGTGTTTGAGAACCCACACATTATACAGCTGATGGAACAATCATGCCATTGATCCATAATACACTTCCCATAGTCCTCTGTGGACATCCCAAAATGAACTACTAGCTTGACTCTGTATAACTTCTATAAACCCAGATAATAGATTCTCAGTTATCTAGAAACAGCCTGATAATGAGAGGAAATAATTACTACATTCTTTAGCATTAAAGTTAATACCTGCATGTGTGACCATTAATTATTCTGTATTATTTCAGAACAGACACTCTTATAATGTATTACCCACCCTCTGTTTTTGCCTTTTAGGTAAACTCAATGATGCATATGATGACTACAAATACACTTACTGGGCATGTGGCATCATCCTTATTTTCTCTGGGATCTTCCTATTTATTGGAATGGGCATCAATTACCGGCTGGTGGCAAAAGAGCAGAAGGCAGAGGATAAGCAGAGTGCTGAAGGAAAAGAAGAAGAAACCAACATTGATGAAGCTGAAAAACAAAAGGAGTCCAATGAAGTAGTTAATCTACCTCCAAAAACCACAGGAGATGATATAAAAGAAGACAGTCGTGTGTGAGATTGGTCTTTTAAATCTAGGAGGGTATTGTAATAATTAAAAATACTGACATGTGTGGAGGAACTGCTGGTCTTAATGAACAGTGGTGAGAATTATATAAATCAGGCTTTTTAAAAATACAAAACCTGAAACTGCAGATAGTATTTTTATCAGCACCTGACGAGTAACATGTCAGTGGGCAGTGCTAGCATTTTAGTAGGTTGGGGGTGGGGGGAGGAGGGAAAAATGTATACTCTGCTTCTTTTTTTTTTTTTTTTTACAGTAATGTGAATGTACTAATATGTGCCTTAGAGCTTCCACATCTAGGCTATTTTAGCAAAGCCTTAACACTGTTCTGTAAATTGTTTTGGCTCCTTTTTTGGGGGGGGGTGTGTCTATCAAGGCAATATTCATAAAAGATATCTGACTTGCTTTATTAGTAGGGTTTACAGTTAAGTGTTAAACAAAAACTACTTCATATGCTCCTAAAACTGCTTACTGCCAGTTTCATGGTAGGTGTACAAATATCTTGGGCACAGAAATGAAGAAAAGGTTGGCGGATCTTTTTTTAAAAGATAGTGTTGCAGACCTAATGTATTCGAATACCGGATTCAAGCTACCTTGGTTGTGATTCTGATAACTCTTAAAAACTTACCCAACTTGCTGTTGGGCTTGTTTGAATAAAATATGTGAATATTTTCATACTGTCTTCACTTGATTTTCTCTGGAGAAGAACTTGTTTTCTAATTAGCATTACTTTTTTTATTTGATTTGCTTTGAAAAAGTACCATTACTCTGAAATGAAACCAGGATTGGTACAAGAGGATAGCGCATGGATTCATCAGTTATTGAACAAAGCTAAAGATACAGTATTTTCATTATCTGTTTAAGCTTTGAAATAAGAGATGCTATAGATATGGCCAAACATGCTTACTTAGAAGTAAGCCTCACTGAAATCAGTGGTGCTTACATTTAAGTAATGACATGTGTTTGCACTGTTATCATGTACATTGATATTGACATCTAGCTTTCACTTACCAGTTATGCTACTCCCAAGGGGATATATTTTTGTTTCATGTTGTGGCTTTTTTAAAAAAAATACTACTCAGTTTAAGGAGGAAAAATATTTATCCTTATTTTGTATAGTATAAGTACCCAGAGAATACTGTCTTAACACCAGCTTTTGTGCCAGAACAGATAACATCTTACCAAGCTGTGCTCAGAATAGAATAGTTGACAAGCAGCATGGAAACTCTAAACTGGAACAGAGACTGATATAATATTCATTTCTTCATGCTTTTCATGTTGATTTATTCTGAGTGAGTTACAATTTAAACTGATATGTAGCTGCTCAACTGCATTTTTTAAAATTATTCTGTAAAAGGTAAAAACCTGTGTGTGCTCTCTTTCTCTGTGTGTTCCTAGTATTGGAAAATATCACACATCATTCAAGGATAAGTGGAAAACAGCTTTCTGGTCATAAGCCAGAAAATCAATCAAAAGTTTAGATTATGTTCCAGTTGTTCTTCTACATAGTTCATTCATTAAATGTAAATAGTTCTTTTCCTATTTCAATTATATGTGTAGTAATTCAAGTATGGGAACAAATCTGTAGGAGTCCTTGGGAGGTAATTGATTCAGATGGTCTATTTGTCATGTAAAATAATACTCCACAATGACATAATATAAATAATTACTTAAATTTCTTAAAAGTTGTGAGAAACTGACATAATTATTTCCTTCCTTCTCTTGCAAACTGGTGCTTGCTTTGGTGAGTGTAGTGTTTGATATCACTACTGAGTGAAAAGCAGTACACTGCTAGAATACTATTTTTAATAAGGCAAAATATTTTAAAATTCTAGTAGCCTAATGGGGAATATATGACAAATAAAATTTCATTTCTGATTATACCATGGTGTGATATGCTCCTGATTGTCTTACCCTACTGAATCTCATTAGCTACTGCTTAGACAAGAATGGACAAAAACTAGCAAAATGTGCGTTCTAGAGTTCTAGAATGTGACAAGAAAAATAGATATTAGACTGCCAAGACAAGGCAGTACAAAGAAATACTGTTAATGAATAATGTCAGTAACATTTTGTTGTATGCTTATTTCTTTTAAGGTTGAGTCTGCATGCTTTTTAGCATATTTTTTAAACACTGGAACATAGTCTGATATAAGTCAAATTGTGCAATTATATTGTAATTTTTATTATCCTGTAAGATGATGTTTTACTACAGAGAGACAAATAGGTACTCATAAAACTGTGTTGAGTTTCTAAACTGGAGATTGTTCTTCAACAAAAGCTTTTATAGTGAATGTAGATTCTCTTCAATTTTTCTCTCAGGTAAATGACTTTAGATGACATCTACACAGAAAATTCCTGTAAATTTGATTTAGCACTTTAGCAGTATTCCAAGAATGTAGAAATTCCAGGGTATGGACCATTTTGCTCCAGTTAAAAGTATATTTACTGTGGCTGAGCAATTCATATTTCGTTTTCTCTGCAGAATGCATGGCCAGTGATGTTCCTGTAATGGCCTCCAGTTGTAGTACAGGCATCTTATCAGGTACCCACATGTTCTTTTAGTAAAACAAGAAAAACATTTCTGTGACCTAAAGGCAGTACCTGTGAGGTCTACAAATATCCTAGCATGTATGATGATACGTGACTGAGTTGCTGAAGTCTGTGGAAGGTAGTAGGTTGTTAAACAAAAAAGCACACAAGGCATATGCAGAATAGATCCTTGGTAGTATTGGAAATAATGACTAATATGATCTTTCTAAGAATTCTTAGGTCCCCATAAAAGCACCATGCAGAGCTATCTTTAAGCACTAATCATAACAGGATATTCTACTGCCTCCTCACTAACTGAAACTAGTAGATTTAAATATTATTTAATAAGTTTGATCCTTAATGTTCCTTAATGTGTTATGCACATTTATTTTGTGTAAACCAAGTTAGAAGTAAACCATTCTTTCATGAGATACTTGCTTTGTCAAGCCTCCTACTTCCTGAAATTCAAGTCTGCTTCTTTGGAATGCGTGAAAGTGACTGGTCCAGACTTAAAAGTTTACGTAACTAAAGTGGAACAAATTGGGCTTTTCCATCCCCCTTCCCAAATATGTAGATTCTGACAGGTTAAGTTTCCTTTATTAAAAAGAATTTGTGGAAGTCCCTTGACAGTATTAAAAATGCACTGTGAAATATTCTAATCTCTTGTCTTGGCTGCTGAGTTTATTAGAGGTTTTTTTTTTTTTTTTTAGTGTATTGTCCAAAACGATACAAAAAAAAGCTTATCAGGGTATTTTCATACTTTTTAAGTTTGTACATTCAATAGAATATTTTGCATACATATGTTATTGTACACTATTAAAATGTGACATTATAAAACTTTGTGTCTCATGTTCAACCTCGTGTCAAGAATGCATAATAACTAGTTCAGATTGCAATAAACTAACACTGAAAAGCTAATTTGAGCCATGTTCTTGTAAGTATAAATAGTCATGATGGTAACTAATATATTTGGTCTCATTTCTTTATTTTACTTGGTGAATTAAAAGATTATTATCATAGCCATCCTAGAAACACATTAATTTTGGGGGGGAAATAGTTATAATAAATAATACTGTATTTCAGGGAGCATGCTGAAATCCTTTTTGCTTCAAATATTTGATTAGGTATCATTGAAATGAACAATATATTAAATATCAAAAGTACAGAAAATAATTAAATAGGTTCTCAAAAGATTCAGCTGTCAAGATCCTCAAGGAGAAATATAACAAGCATTATTATTATTATTTATTATTATTTTGCAAAGAATGATTGCAGCTTTTTAAATGATACTTATTCCAGATCCAAATACGATCCCTTATTAATCATGTATTTAACCAGTAACAGCACTATCTTAGTAATTCTCAAAGAATATTAAATAGCACCCCTAGTACAGGAAAACTTTTTTTGTATTTTTCTTTACACACAAAAATGCTAAAATCTTTTTTTCAACCTAATAAGTATTATAATATGAAATACATATTGCTGCTGGCCCCAAGACTGGTAGAAATGTTTCTTTAGACATTAGTGCAATGTATACCTTTTGCCAGGTGCTTTTTTTTAATCAACCAAAAATGTTCAGTGAATTTAGAAATATAGGTAATTTAATATACATCTTCATAGATACACATGCTTACCTAAAATTACATATTCATGTACTACAATGCTCATGTCTATAATAGCTTACTAAGCCTCTTAACAATTTTTTAGGTTAACCAGCCTGTAGCTTTCTAAATAATCCTATAAAACAGACATCCTTAAGTAAAAATAAAAGCTGACAATCTAGCAAGCGGGTAGCAGTGCCAATGTTTCTGGACTTCTACTTTTTTAAGTAGGATAAAAGAGTATATGCTGTCTTTTGGAATCTAATGGAATAAATCTGTGGAATAAGATTTAGCAGATAATAGTTCAATGTTTTCTGCTAATCGTTTACAGGTAAATAAAAGTGTAGACCATGAACAATTTATTTTAGTAATTGTCCATATGATAAAATATTCTTAAAATGCACTAGATGAAAACTTCAGTGAAAAATATGTTTAGTGGAAATATGTACTTAAACACATATGTTGATATGTGTTTAAATATTATCAAAGGAATTTTTAATCCAATCAAAAAGTCTTTTAAGGTGTCAGTTCCTCAGTTCAGATTTTTTTGAGTCTTTTCTATGTATTAAAAAGAAAGGCCTTGTATGGTGAAAATGTTATAAGTAACCACACATTATTGTGCTAAAAAACTTTATGCATATACTAACTAATAGTTCTACAGGATTTTCCCCCATTTCTTTGCACTGTAGTTTATATGTCCTATTGAAGAAGACCTATGCAATAAAAACATTTGGCAATCATTTCATGTTATTACGAACAATGTAACCACAGCTTTGCTTAGGCAAACTCAAACTGGAATCTACACACTTTTATAGTGACAGTTTCATTGGTATAGTTTGTGATACAGGAGACAACTAGTGTAAACTTTTTAAAAAATGCAGTACCTTCATGATGATGTGGTCGGCTATTTTCAGACTTTCAGTGTCAAGTTAATACAGTACTCCTGATACTGATAAAATCTGTTTCTGGCTGTCAGTGCGATGGTCTTCCTAATTCATGCATCTTAAAGGGACCGGTTTCATGTATGGGTGGGCTGTGTCAAGAGTTTTTCAGCAGATGGATCGGATGGGAATATGGGCATTTTGGTAGTGCATTACTAGAAATCAGTACGTACATAGTGCATCTGATTGCTTCCTTTAGCGCAAGTAAGAATACTGTTCCTGTTCATGCACACTGAGCTCGGATGTGAAATAACGAAACAAGGGCAAGATAGAGGATATTAAATCATAGGTTACCAGAGTTAGTTTTCTGTATTTCTTTGGTGCCATCTAATGGCTGTCTGGCTTTTGCAGCCCCAAATAGCTAGGGTTTTCCCCCCCTCCCCTCTCCTATTTGCCCAACTTATAAATAATGTACATATTTCAACTTCCATTTGGGACCACTGTATTTCCTTTAAAGGAGCCAACTTCTACAGAGAAGTGGGGAAAAGCAACTCTCTACTTAAACATTTTTACTAAAAGTTGTAGGAATGTTTTGGACTACAGACTTGTTCTTTTCAGGACTTCAGTTCTGTACTTTATATTTGACCCTAGATTGCTGTAT